TCTCCAGTGGACGCCTATGTGTGGCGGCGGGACGATTGCAGGGCATGCCTGCGGTGATTGCCACGGTGTACTTACCGCCGAAAGGCCCGACATACCCTCGGGCGAAGGAATTGGGGGAGGATCTCCTCCGACCGCTGTCCCAAGAGTTGGTTTATGGTCGTAGTGGCTGCAGAGCAATCATTGGGGACTTCAACTGTGCCCCTGGTTCGCTTGTGGCACACCAGCTGTGGCAAGACTGTGGCTGGATTGAAGTTCAAGATGAGATGGCACGGAGGCATGGATTGACCCCTTTCAACACATGCAAGGGTGCTTCAAGGGCAGACCAAATATGGATATCGCCTGAACTGTCCCGCTTCTTGACCGATGTGGGTTACGCCGACCTTTTTGCAGACCATCGCTTGTTGGTAGCCAGGTTTGCAGTTCCAAAACATGAAGAAATGCAGTGGTTCTGGCAACAACCCCAACGACTTCCTTGGCATGGGGTGAACAAAGATGACATGCGTGTTTGCTATGAGGCCATGCCCGAGATTGAGAGGAGCTCAGACACCACCTCCACCCTTCGGCAATGGGCGAGAAAGGTTGAAACATCAGCAAGGACGGCGACTTCCTGCCCAGAGGACTTTCCTAATAGTTGCCTTGGACGATGCAGGGTGAAAGCCCCTAGGCTGCGGCAGTGTTCTCTCCAAGTCCCCTCGAACCCTCGGGAGGGGCATTTTGTGATCCAGGACTCTTTCCTTGGTAGGGCAGTTCAATTGTGGTACGCTCAACTCCGGCGGCTAGAGTCTTTGCTGCACAACGTTCGAAGGGGTTCCAACTCGCATGAGGCTGCTGCGGAGAGATCCATTGTATGGCAGCGAATCCTCACTGCCAAGGGATTTCAGAAGAACTTTGCTCGATGGTGGCGCCAAAGGCCGATTAAGTTGCAAGGTGCCCCTGACTGCTTAGACTCATGGCCCCCCAGAGACCGGGACCCTAGAGGTCATCGTCAATGACTTCAAGCAGAACTATGACAGATTCTCGTCTTGGCACCGTGATCGTAGACAGCGAGTCATCCAGGCAAAGTGGAAAGAAGGACAGGATTCCTGTTTTCAGGTCGCAAGACCAAATCCCAAGGAACAGCTTGAGACTTTGGTTGACACAGTTGAACAGTGCATTGAGGTTTGTGATGCCAGTCGTCAGCTTGTGCGAGTCAGCTCTCCTTTTCCCACAGAGAGAATCCTGAAATGGACATTGAATCAAGTGCCTGCGATTGTACGCTGTGTTGACGGGTTGTATGAGGTTGAGAGTGACCTTGTGCTGTGCGATGGCCAAGTTTTGAGTTGCAAGCTGATTGTTGATGAGATCTCTGTCATCCAAGAGCGCCTGCTTGAACTATGGAATGGGCGATGGGGTCGACACGCTGGGGTGCCTGAGAGCCATTGGCAGCAGATCTGTGACTTTGCCCGCAGGTTTCTTCCTCGTGCTGCCCTCGAACTCCCCCCGGTCTGCTACGAGCAATGGATAGTCTGTGCCAAGGCATTCAAACTCAAGGCAGCCACCGGGCCTGACGGTGTTTCCAGAGAGGACATTCTCTCGTTGCCACGGACAGCAATCGAGGAGCTCCTCAACATCTTCTCCGACATTGAACGGGGGGGCCCCATGGCCTGACCAGTGGAGGAGGGCGTTTGTGCACTGCGTTGAGAAATTTGCAGGGGCTGAAGCGGTGTCAGCGTATCGCCCTATTACATTGCTGAGCATTGTCTATAGGTGCTGGGCAAGTGCCAGAACTGGACAGCTGCTGACACATCTGTCACGACTCCGTGCACCACATCAATGTGGGTTCACAAAAGACTGCATGCCTGCTGACATCTGGTTTTGGATTCAGTCAGGTATTGAAGCCGCAGTTGCCAGTGGAGGTTCCCGATGCGGAGTAGTTGCAGATATCATCAAGTGCTATAACTGCATCCCCAGACAGCCCATCTGGCCCATGCTACATGTCCTTGGTGTCCCAACTTTCTTCACAGCATGTTGGAGCAAGTTTTTGAGTGGCTTGCAAAGGAGTTTTGTAGTGAGACAGTCCGTAGGCCCTGAGGCCGAAAGCAGTTGCGGGTTCCCTGAGGGGTGCCCGCTTTCGTGTGCAGCTATGACAGCCCTGGACGTGACATGGCACTGCTATCAGGCCCATTACTGCCCCGGAGCTCGAGCCCTGTCGTTTGTTGACAATTTGGAGGTTGTCGCTTCCCGTCCTGTTGATGCAGTCAGGGGACTTGCCACAATGAAGAGCTTTTGTGACAAGGTCAGTCTCCAATTGGACGATGACAAACTCTATGGGTGGGCCACCACTTCCTCAGACCGCAGGAGTCTAGAGGCGGCAGGAGTGCGAACTGTCTTGGAGGCTCGTGACCTCGGTGGTCAGGTGACCTATTGCTCGAAGCACTTTGTTCACGTTGTAGTTGACCGGATTGCAAGTGTGAAACCTTGTTTTGCTGCCCTTCGCAAATCTGGACTCTGCTTGTGGGACAGGAAGAAGTGCATTGTTGGAGCCCTTTGGCCGAAAGGCCTCCACGGCTGCGAAGGTGTCAAGCTCGGAGCCACACACTTCACCTCGCTCCGTGCGGGGGTTATGAGGGCGTGTGGCTGGGACCGCCCAGGCGCATCACCGCTGATACGAGTGAGTCTGATTCATGGGGACAAGCTCGATCCCTTTTTCTACCAGCTTTGGCGATGCTTCTGGATGTTCTGCCGACAGTGCGGACACAATGAGGAGATTCGCTCAGCGTGGCAGGCTTTGGCGGTAGTGATCGTGCTACACAAGGCCCATTCACGAAGATAACATGTCTGTGCCATGAGCTCGGATGGGTGCTGACATCCTCCTTTCAGTTGTGCTTTCCCGGCGGGCTTGAGATAAATGTGTTGCAATTTCCACTGCAGGGTCTTAGACGATTGCTGCTTTTTTATTGGCGACAGTCAATTGCTTCCAAGCTTGGCGAACGTCGATCTCTGCGGGAGCTTCGGGGCTTTGAGGCTGGACACTCCGAGCTTGTTGATGGCAAGCTTTCTGGTTTTGAGACCGAGCTCCTGCACAATGTGCGTGATGGCACCTTCTTCACTCGGGACAGCATTGGCAAGTTTGCTGACGGGGGAGATGCATGCCCACATTGCGGTGGGAATGACTCAAGGGAGCATCGCTTCCTGGAGTGTGTTCATTATGCTGACATTAGAGAGAGGCTTGGTTTTGACCATGCTGCATGGTGGGAGTGCCCTGCGCCCCTTGCCTTGCATGGACTATGCGATGTGAGCCCGTTCAAGACCCTCTTTTGGACTGCGCTTGAAAGTCTCCATGAGGTTGAAACCTTTTTTCAGCTTTGAGCCACCGGCCGAACGACACCGTCATGTTTTCACTGATGGTTCTGGCACTGACCAGGACATCCCTGACATTGCCTTAGCGGCTTGGGCTGTTGTACATGAAGGGTCTTCTGCAGTTGTAGCTGCCGGGGGGCTTCCCGGTGTGGTTCAAACAGTCCCTAGGGCTGAGGCCTATGCTGTGCTCCAGGCGGTCCGTTGGGCTGCGGCAGAGGATGACACAACTCATATTTGGTCTGACAGTCTTGGGACGGTTGAGACTTTTCGCAGCGTGCAGGCCGGAGATGGTTTTTCGGCACACCTTGAGAACGCGGACATTTGGAACCAGATTTCTGATGAGCTTGAGTTTTGTGCCGGAACCTTCCGTATACATAAGATCCCTAGCCATAGCCTTGAGGAGGACTGCCAAGGACCTTTTGAAGACTGGTGTAGGGTGAACAACTCCAAGGCCGATAATGCTGCAAAATTTTCAAATGCTTCTAGACCATGCTGGTTTGCCTCTGTCTATGCAAAGCACAGGGAGCATTGGCAGAAAACACACGCCCAGTTTGAACGGATCACTGCATTGCACCTTGAAGTTGCCCGGAGAGACCTAGAAAGCCGAGATGAGCCTTTGCATGTGGTTGAGAATTTGTTTGAAGACTTAGGTGAGGGCCTATTTTTTGATAGAGCTGCACGAAACCTCGATTGTACAGAAACATTTGAAAGTTATGCTGAGGGATTGCCTGTCAGTTGGGCAATGCAGCTGTCTAGAGATGATGTGATCCAGCCAGGGTTTGTCACCGAACTTTTGAGGTTCCTGACTGGACTTGAAGGGTCAAGCAATCGATGGTGTTTGGTTACGTTTCTTGAGCTTGTTGTTATTTTTCGTAGGTTTTTAGGTCAGGATCTTGTTTCGTCGGCTTCGAACCAACCGCCGAATCGATGGACCCAAGTTACTTTGGCAGCGGAACGTCGTGTACTTAAGAAGACGTTTGGAGCTCTCTGTCGGAGCCTGGGTTTTTGGCCGGAGACAGGATGGGTGAACCTTTCTCAGATTGGGGTCACCAGTTGCTGTGAGGCTGTCAGGATTTGTTACCCGATTGATGCTGAGGAGTTTGCTGTATCCGTTCTGAGAAAGTTTGCCTTGCACAGACCAATAGGTGGAGCTCAGGCGCTGTCGCGCCCGCTGCCATGGTAGGACGCCTCTAGTGGTCTCCGAGCCGCCGCCAAGGCTGCGGCTTCGAACAGTCCGAACGGCAGTGCGCGTATATATTGATCATTAATCATGATTAGTTCTGCCATCTGCTTTAGGCACTGGATTTAATCGATTTGATGCTCTGGAGGATGTCCGGCAGTGTACAGCCTCCTTGGATTACGGACCGCAGAGACTGCTAGCTTGATGAGCGGCGATGCTGATGAGTTCGTTGGGCATCAACCAGAAACGAGCCGAACGTGGAGATTTCTTTAATATTCTTTGATTCATCACTGAACGCCACGCTTTTCTCCGTCTTTTTGAATGAGGTTGAGGTTATTTTCTGCAATATTCTTTTCTGCAACTATTATAGCTTGAACATAATCGCAGGACACTCAATTACCTCCAACCAAACTGCCGGCCCATAAAAAGAAAAAAAACCGACCTCACCAAAACGACAGTCCCTCGAAACGACCCGAAACGCCTTGGCTTGGATGGATTTGCAAAGTGTGGCCACGCGGAAGGCCCAGAGCTCCAAGGCTTTGGACAACATGCCTCGTGAGCGACGAGGTGTATGCAGTTTGCAACACAGATCTGTTCGAAACACCCGCCGACCCAACGGCAAAAGGGAAAACGGTGGAGGATGCGGATATGAGGAGGATTTTCCATGTCCATTTTCTGCGCTTCTGCACCTTAGAAAAGGTTCAGCGCGCCTGTTTTGGATGTGCCAAAACACATACGACGACGCCGAAAGGAGAGCTTTGCATAGCTTTGCCTGTTTTGATGCTGGCGAGGGTATGTTTCTCCGATGGTCCGCGCGTCTGCGACCCGTCCCAAAGGAGTTAAAGACCAAGAAGTGACCACCTGCGATAGCCTGAAAGCAAAACAGGAGGAACCACTGACTTCAATGCATTGATATGGCATCTCACTGGGTACAAAGTGAGCTTGAGCATTCGTCTCTCTTTTCATGCCTGCGATGTACTGCTGTCCATGTTGGTGGGGCTCGTTCACCGATGGACAGCCCGTCCAACATCCGATGGTCTTTGGAATCACAGCCTCCAAACAGCCTTCCACACCAGGACATGTACCAGCTCGAAGTTGTACTGCTGACAGGCGGGTTGCTGCCAAATCATCCCCAAATGATCAGAGCGGGGAGTCCAAGGGTGTGGGAACTAGTCACTATAGTCCAGCCCTGCAGTTGCTAGGCGGTCGGCTGGGAAATCAGCACGTTGCGCACGTTGCGCGCGCGCACGAAAGGCGGCGCCTGGGGTGTTCTCCGGATTGTCATGGAAGCCGACCTGGCGACCAGAGGGATAGACGGGCTGGCGAGCAAAGCACCTGGCACCGTCAATAACAAACAACACATTGTCGGCACTATTCTGAACTGCTTCAGGAAGTTTGGGACCAGTAGTTGCCTATATTCAATCACTTTCTCACTGTTCACCAGTGCTGACCCCATCCTATGGCCCCTTGAGCGACACCCCAGGCACCCAAAATGCAAGGTTGAACAAGTGAAGCCCGCACATTGAGTGGAATTTTGATAGTTAATGAAGTACACTCAATGCCCAGACTTGATGAGACTTTCTTCTTTTGAGCTGATCCTGCACATTTGATGGAGAACCAACATCCTGCCACCGCTCCCGTCCATACTGCCCATACCTCATCATGCCCTGTTGCGCCCAGCTTTTCTTTTTCCCTCTTTGTCCATGCATACCATAAGACCTTCAAAAATGGCCAGTGCTGCCAGGCAGCGTCGCCCCCGTGCCGAACTCACCGACTCACACCGACTCGGTCTCGGCCGAAAAAAAAAAGAACAACACCGTCGTCGAACTCGAAGAAACACCGTCGTCTCATCTTCTTCCTCGTCTTCCGGGCCGAAGAACCACCGTCGCGGTCCGAGCGATGCGCCGTCCGACTCGTTCGTCCCCGTCTCCTCGGCGCCTCCTGGCGGAACATCGACGTGAGGATCGCCACGCGGAGCCGTTGCGTCATCGCCTGGGAGGATATTGTTGGTGACCGGTCGGTTCCGGTGGATGGCGGGGGAGGATCGAGCATGAGGTGCATGGATCTTGAGGCGTGGAGCCCAGTGAGGAGGATTGACGAATGGATCCAAGCGATTGGTCAAACTCTGTGTTCTTTTTTTTTTGGATGGGTGGTGAATCTGTTCATGGGAATAACTAGAGAACTAAGGAGCTTTACTACAATGTTTTGCAACATCATAGGCCACAGGGTTCAAAGATGTTCAAAGCAAAGAGATCTGTCGGGGTGCTTCTTATCCAGTCGAATATTCCTCAAGCTTCCCCTCGTGCGTCTTCCTGAGGTATGCGTATGCATTAAACCTTGTACCCTGCGGGCCCGGCGGGCTTGGCGGGTCCAAAGGCTACCATCGCAGGCCTTTGGTTTACGTCTGGATCCTCACAGATCCCACCATTGCATTGCCTAAAGTGAAGACACCTTCAGCTTGTGAGTTGGAATGTCCAATGATCAACCAAAACGCCTAGTGACGCCTAGTTTACTCCAACCTATGAAGACACCTGCAAAACGTCCACTGCACCGCTTGAGACGTCGTCGTCGTGATCGCCTCGCCGAGGATGGAGAAGCAACCGTGAGAGACGGTGCTGCCAATCAAGCAGCTCACCCCGATGATCACCTAGCAGAACATGATCACCATTGCGGAGAATGATCTAGCACCAGATATTATCTTATCAGTATATAACTAGTTGGTATACAAATTAATACTTAATCTGGTTGTCTTAAACTCTGTGCTTGACATATATGCGGAGATCAACACCTGAATGCATGAATCATAGTCATATCATGAACCAACCATATCCTTTAAATTCACCCTATGCGCACATGAGTTTGACTGTGACCTGACTTCTTAAGGAGATTTGCAAACAAATTGCGAGTGGATCTTAATCAGCGAAGTTTGAAGCTATCACTGACGATCCATAAGCGGCGTAGCGTCGGAACGGAAACCGCACCTTTTCTAGTCGCTTGATCCTTGAGCCAAAGTACATATGGTACATATATATTGGTGGGTGCCTGGGCCTCTTTGACTGTTGGGAGCCCCCC